TCTCACCATAAATAAAAAGCTAATCACAGTGGATTAAAAACTTAAATTTTAGATCTGAAACTATGAAACTACTAGAGGAAAACGTTGGGGAAAGTCTACACAACATTGGTTTGAGCAAAGATTTTTTTGTGTAAAACCTCAAAGGTTCAAGCACCTAATTAAAATAGATAATAAGTATTACATCAAACTAGAAAGCTTTTGCATAGCAAAGGAAACTGTGAGCAGAATGAAAAGATAATTCCCAGAATTGGAGAAAATATTTGCAAACTATCAATCTGACATGGAATTTATAAACAGAATGTAAGGAGCTCAAACAACAACAAAAACAAAAACAACAAAACTAAAACACGCACCACAAAAAAACAAACCAATTAAAAACAGGGCAAAAGACCTGAATTTCTCAAAAGGAGACATATAAATGACTAACAGGTATATGAAAAAATGCTTAACATCATTAATCATCAGAAAAATACAAATCAAATCTGCTGTGAGATACCATCTGCAGTTACTATGGCTTTTATCAAATAGTCAGGGAATAATGGATGCTGGTAAGGATATGAAGAAAGGGGAACCCATGTACACTGTTGGTGGGAAGGTAAATTAGTTCAGCCACTATTGAAAACAGTGCAGTGGTTTCTCAAAAAACTAAAAGCATTTCACTGCTGAGTATATATGCAAAAGAAAGGAATCAATATATTGAAGAGATATCTGCACTCCAATATTTATTGGAGCCTATTCACAGTAGCCAAGATAAGAAATCAATCTAAGTTTCTACAAATGAATAAATGAATAAAACACACACACACATACACACACACACACACACACACACACACACAATGAAATATATTAAGCCATAAGAAAGAGTGAAATCCTGTCATTCACAGCAAGATGGATGGAGTTGGAGATACACATTAAGTGAAATAAGCCAAGAAGAGAAAGACAAGTATCACATTTTCACACGTATGTGGGAGTTAAAAAAGTGGATCTCATGAAGATAAAGAGTAGATTGCTTGTTACCAGAGCCTGGGAATGGTAAAGGGGATGGGTGGACAAAGACAGGCTGATTAAGTGGTACAAATAAATAGTTAGAAGAAATAACTAGTGTTTGATAGATCAGTAGGGTGACTGTAGTTTGCAAAACTCTATTGTACATTTCAAAACATAGAGGGGGATAAGTTAAATGTTTCTAGCATACAGAAAAGACAAACATTTAAGATGATGGATATCTCAATTATCCTGATTTGATCTTTACATATTAATGTATTATATTATCACATGTACAACTATTATGCATCAATAATAATTTTTTTACAAAAGAACATGGAAAAGAAATAGAGATGACTTTTAAAAAATGAATAATCTGGAATTTAATTTCCAAAAACATGTTCACACCAAATTCCTCTGTTTTCCTCCCTCTCTCCCTCTCCCCTTTCCCCTCTCCCTCTCCTTCTCCCTCCCCTTCCCTTTCCTTTCCTTTCTCTCCCTTTCCCTTTTCTTTCTTTCCCTTTCCCTTCCTTTTTTTTCCCATTCAGGCCAGAAATCTGGAGTAATGTAAACCTGCTTGGATGTATGACCTCTTGCTGTGTGCCAAGCTCTGTGCTAATCTCCATCATATATGATCCAAATTAACCCTCAAACAACCCTATGATGTCAGCATTATTTTTGATGAAGAGCTTGAGGCTTAGGGTAGGGAAAATAACTTGCTCAAGGTCAGATAGTTGACAAGTTGCATAGCCGAGGCTCTAACCCCCTCTTTCTCTGAAGTCCCTGCCCTTTAGTCACAAACAAAACTGCTTCACTCTCCCTATTCCACTCCATAATATTCAGCATATCATAAATCCTGCCATTTTTAACTCCTAAATATTTTTCATTGTTTTCATCCCTGTTACCACAGCAGCTCTTGCCTAGACAATTATCACTTCCTCTTGATAGGTCTGATTTCATCTAGCCTTTCTCTAGTTATGGCTGTCTTAGATGGTGGTCAAAGTGATATGCTTGAAAGGCTGCAAGTCTTCTTGTTGACTATCAGACCCTTCAGTCAGGTGATGCTGATTGATAGTTTGGAACACACATTGAGAATTACTACCCTGTAGTGTTTTGCCTGAGTTCAGAAGAGGAAATGAAGCCATGAAAAGTAAGAATATGGCAGAGAGAAAACTGAAGAGCAGATAGTAACCTGTGGAAGATCCAATAAATCATTTGGTCCTTTTTTGATACTGTACTTTAGATTCTGGGGTACATGTGCAGATCATGCAAGATTGTTGCATAGGTACATTCATGGCAAGGTGGTTTGCTGCCTCCATCCCCCCATCACCTATACATGACATTTCTAGCCATGTTATCCCTCCCCACTCTCCCTCCCACTTTCCCTCCCTTAGCCCCCACTAAAGGACCCCAGTGTGTGATGCTCCCATCTCTGTGTCCACGTGTTCTCATTTTTCAACACCCACCTATGAGTGAGAACATGCTGTATTTGGTTTTCTGTTCTTGCGTCAATTTCGTGAGAATGATGGTTTCCAACTTCATCCGTGTCCCTACAAAGGACACAAACTCATCTTTTTTATGGCTGCATAGTATTCCATGGTGTATATGTGCCACATTTTCTTTGCCCAGTTTATCATTGGTGGGCATTTGGGTTGGTTCCAGGTCGTTGCTATTGTAAACAGTGCTGCGATGAACATCCATGTTGCATGTGTCTTTACTTGAATGTTTGGCATCACAAATATAGAACTTGAGAATGAATGAGCTTACTGTTAGGTAAAGTCAAAGAAAAGAAAACTGATTCACAGATAATTTCATGTATGCATTAAAAGAAAGTCTGAGCAGTAGGAATTTGCATCATCATTGAAAATCAATGTGGAAGTATATGTTCTAATTTTTCATTTTGGTGTTTAATTTTCTGAAGCTTTTTTTGTGTCTAGTTTTCCAGATACACATTTTATTAACATAGTTCAGTAATGTAGTATTGACATAGTTAAGTAATACAGATTGATTTGAGTCTTCTCTTAATATAAAACTGGGAGAACATGATGAGTAGGTTACATTTGATATCTTTCCACATTCTTTTATTTATATTTAGATTGAAGTTGGAAAAAACAATCACTTTCAGAAGGCAAACCCTCTTATGCCTGGTGCTCAGCTGGAATATTTATATTGTCTTGGTCTTTGCATGGGTATGGTGTGTGTATACACAGGTGTGTGTACTTGCACTCAGAGATTGGGACTCGTAAGCAACTCTAATTAGAAAGTTAAATAAATACAGAAAGCTTTAAGAATTATTTGAACCCTATTCCGTTCTCAATCTATGTAGCTATCTCTGGATCAGGCTGTTGTATGATATGAAATCTTTTCTATGTTAGGAAGCAGAATGAAGTTATGATGTATTATTTTTATTGTGTTAATTTTTCTTTCAGTGTAAAATTTAAGAGATTGAAACCAAAATAGAATTATATAAACCAAACTGTGTACTCAGTTGTGTACCTCTGTATGAACAATTATATAAACTTGTCCGAATTGTTCCTAGAATGTTGTTTTTCTATTAGTTTAAACTGCAATGTGAACTCTTAATCTCATTTTTGATAAATGATTATCATAAATTATCTACAAGTGGATTCCTTTTCTATGAGTTTATTTTTTTTATAACCCTGAATCTGACCATGCTTTTTAAATTATGTGTTTGTCATGCTTGGCAGTCCCTTCCATGTTTGGCCATTCCTAAGCTTCTGTAATTCCAAAAGGTCATTGTGTGCCCTGACCTCCTGCTAGGAGAACTGCTTTTTTCTCCCTCCAGATGTTTTGCAATTTAAACTTTTATTGCTGTAATCTGTATACAAGTCATATATGAAAAGTGTCAAATATCATTGTCCAGCAGTGAAATTAGGATTCTTTCAAATTGGAGGGAAATGTTAACAGAGTGCAACTGTGTCCTGCCAGTGTTTCTCCTGGCAAGCTGGCTCTGAGAAGGCTGTTTTCCTTTTAGCCATCTGTGCTTCCATAAACAATCTGCAGTGGTTTTTTCTTCTAATTCAAATTCTAGCAGCTGGATTTCCTCCTTAGTTCCTTTTGGTGCTGTGACACCAGTAGCATCGCACCCATGAATCTTTGTGCTACTTTCTACTTGTAGGGATTATATTACCAAAAATGTTAAATAAGCAGTTCACATGATTTTCCCACAGGAGGATTCTGCAATGCGTGTGCTAGAGTAGGCCAACTGAGGCCTGCGTTAGAAAATGGAAGAGAGCGTTTTATGCCCCCTGCCCAACTTTAAATGTCCGTGGTTGTTCTTCTCTATTTAAAAACAGGTAAATCTTCCTATCTAGTTAACTGTTTTTGTTTGTTGAAAAATCTACCAATGCTGCCTATTTCTAGTATCACGCATTTCAACTTTTTGGATTTAGTTCAAAAAAGTGTTGTTGTTGTTTTTTTTAATAAAAAATCTTATTTTGTTAGCTGTTTTTAACTATAACCTTGTCTAGTAAAAGTCTTTAGATATGTAATTAGTGTTGCTATATATGTAATGTAATATATAATATTCATAGAACAGAACACACACTCTTCATTCCTATTTAAATTCATCTAATGCATAAACATTTTGCTTTCCAATGGAAAAGCAAAAAAGTCATTGAAATTGAAAATTTTCAGAATATAGTATATTGCCTTCTTTTTACAATTTAAAAAAGTTAAAAACAAAACTACAGTAGTGATTTCTTTAGTAATATTTCCTTACAAAAGAGTCATGTTGCAAAGTCTGTCAATTATTTTTTTTTAAAGGAAAGACAGATGTCAGAAAATAAGATATAAACAAAAAAATTTCAAAATATTTTTCAGGGAGATTTGTGAGTAGTTGAATTGGCAAACTGATAGTTGAAAACAGAAGACCAAGAGAGAACATGATGACTTTACCAAAATAAAAAAAATCCCAAATCAAAAACTAAACTAAATAATAGCAAAAATCCCATGCAGATAAAGACAAATTGAACAATCCAAACACTAAATACTTTTTGCTGTGATACCAAAGGTTCGAATTTAATAAAACATTCAAGTAATTGATCAATATTCCTCTTTTCATGGATAAGTTTTGTTGATTTGTAGGGTAAAGACATTAAAAATGAACTTGGCTATTGGTCTTAATAAGCTACTTTTAGTTTCATGTAGTTTGATATCACTAAACTTAGTAAGAAATATTTTTCCTGAATTCAATAAGAATAATGAAATTTTCCTTGAGAAAATGTTCTTAAATTCCTATATATATTAAGTAATGAATCCTGATAATAATGCTGAGCATCCAATAGTACATGGATACTCAGGAACTTATTTTCATTAGCTAAAACTTCCACAGGGTCGGTGGTTATTTTCTTCATTGTGGTCCGAGTGTGTCAATATGGCAGGCACTCAATTCATGGCTGAAAAAAAAGTGAATGAGTGTTAAATTAATGTTTGAAATTCATTACTCTTAAGTGGCATTATAGGAGAAGAAAGGCTAAAAATCAGAAATTCTTGTTTTGTTACTTGGCCATTTGCATAACCTTGAGGGAGGCATTTGATAGCTACTGATTTCCATGCCCCTAAAATGAAGGAGTTGGAATAGACAGTTTCTAAATTCCCTTGCAGCATTCTTCCAGGTTGATCTCTAGGAGGAGCAGTATCATCTCATTTATGCAATAAATATTTATTGAGCACTTTGCTAACACCATGCCGAAGTAACACAGAAGGTAGTACATAATGGAAAAAATAATTTAAGTTAACAGATAAACTTGGATAAATGCTGTGAAGGGCATTCACTGGGCTTTTTCAGAGACTGTAACATGAAGGGAATCTAGTCTAGATTAGGAGTCTGTTGGGATCTCTCTGCACAAGTGATACTTCTGTAATCCAAAGTAGAACTTAGGCAGAGGATGAGAGGAATGAAAAATATTATTAGAAGACAGTACAAAAAGTAAAAATCCAGAGGAACTGAAAGAAAACATTATGTGGTAGGCACATACTGGATGATGTTACAAAGCAGCAGGTGAGGAAGAAAAGAAGCAAATTAGAGGCTATTGCTGTGGTCCAGAGGAGGAACAGGTAGTTGGGGACTATCATGAGACAGTGAGCTGGGGAAACGTGGATGAAATTGAAATTTATTTTGTGCCCACAGTCGACAGTACTAGGATAGACTTTTTATGAAGCATGAATGATCAGGCACCATCAAAAGTGATTCCTAAAATTCTTCCTTGCTTAAGCCACTGAGTAATGGACATCTCATTAGTTAAGGTGAAGAATTCAAGTGGGCAGGATATTTGTGCATATCAAGTTTGACCCTTGGATGTTAAGTGGAGATAGCAAGTAGGCAATTGGATGCACTGAGCTCAGGGGTGAGGCTAGGAGTCAGCAGAATATATAGATGGCATTTAAATTATGGAATTTGGAGTAATAAGTGCAACTATATCAAACCTCAGGCGACTCCAGTAGGTTTTGTTTCAAGAGGTATTTAATGTTATCTGATCCATTAGGATGCCTTTTTCAGTTAAGGTGATATGTGAACTAGTCATTAATAGCAAAGTTTAGCAGCAACATTTTGCAGAGATTTTTGTCTCTTTAAATCCACATTTTCCAAGTATTAAAGAAATATTTTTGTATCAAAGAGTAGTCTTTGATTAGAGATATATTTATGCAATATATGTATATTTAAATGTGAATTTGCTCTATGAAACTCAGATGGCAGAAAAGTCACATTTTAATATTTTGTGTTACTTTAACTTCACAGGGCTTTTATCCTCCATGCTTTATTGGTGGAAAATTTAACCTTAGTTTTCCTTTTCTGAGAAGGTTCTATTCTTTCAGTGGCCTTGACAGAAGTTCTAGGAATTTGCCTGGTCAGAAGACTTGGCCAAGGACCCTCCAAGCTCTTCATTTTCCCATGGTTGACTGCTCAAGGCATCTACAGCTTCACCAGACACTGAGAAGCTCTCTTTGCCTTAAAGAAAGCCACGTAGGATTAAGTTTTGAACAACAGTTTGGGCTGATCTTCCAACCAGAATTCATAAAATATCGTTCACTTCTTCAACAACCTTATAGTAAACAACTTGGCTAAGAAAACTCTCTTTTATTTTATAACACTCTGCATTTCTACATAGGTTTCTTGGATAAAGGTATCCAGGCTGTGAGCACTGCAGGCTCTTCCTTTACCCAGGAGAGGCTGGTGCTGTCAGGTCACAGACAACCCCTCGTCTACCAAGTTTTCATCACCAGGGAGAGTTTCAAGTTTTTCCTCTTTACTAACAGGATGAGAGACTATTTTCTTGTGGGACCAGGCAATTTATCTCCCTAACTGGTTTGCAGTTCTCAAAGTCCACAGGCCTGCCTTTGCTTTTACACTATGCTCATGCTTTGATGATGTCACGTTGATGAGTATAGCCTGCCACAAAATGTGTACCTTCCCACAGGCAAAGCTGGGCATTTGTCCTTCTCTAACTTCCTATAGGTATTTCTGAATCCTTCTGTTTTGTGGTGTACAGTGTTATTTGTAGCCCACTATAGATTTAGACCTCCTCCTGTAAATCCTTGTAGCTTTGCATAATGCTCAGTCACATAGTAGACAGCTTGATGGACTTGCTCATTTGTATGTATGAGTGAGCACAATTGTTTATACAGTGCATTATGGAAGGGGTCTCAGGAAAGGGCTTTATACCAGCCTTCCCAAAATCTGACAAAGTGGCTTCCTTGGCTTTTTACATGTTCTGATAATGCCTTGTTTGCTCTACAAACATCAGGCCAGTTTCCCTGAAATCCATTTGACACCTGTTTCTTAAATCTTGATGTGAGCTATCACTTTCTTTCTCTGTTCTTTCATTTTTTTAGCATTAGTAGTTGAAAGAAGATTAAAGAAGTGTCAGATTTTAGGCAGATTGATCTCAGAGCAAATTAATTTGCCAAACATTGCACTCCTACTCTTATTTTAAAGAGATTGATAGTACATTTCCTGAGTCTAAATGTACTATCTTGGGCTTTTCAGGCTGATTTGACAAACTACCATAGATTGGCTGGCATATAAACAATGCAAATTTATTTCTCACAGTTCTGGAGGCTGCAAAGTCTGAGATCAAGACACTTGGAGATTCCATGTCCACTGAAGGCATGGGTTTTGGGTTCACAGACAGCCATCTTTTTGCTATGTCCTCATATGACAAAAAGAACTCTGTTCTTTTCAGCTCCTTATAAGGGCACTAGTCTCATTCATGAAAGCTCTTCCCACATGATACAAGCATTCAATCTGTAGCATGTACCCTAGCCAGAGCCCTCCAGATCAGTCTACTGTTATAGTTTATATATACAGACATCTTTTCAACCAGCCTCCTGGTGTTTATCCAAAAGGCTGACATACCCTGCTCTCTGGTGTTCAACCACATCTAGCAGCCTGTTTGATTACTTGAGACATTCATTCACAATCACTGAAGTACTAATGGCTTTGGCAGCATGAAGATCACCAAGATTTGGTCCTAAGACAGTCCTTTGGCTACCCACCTTTCCTAAAGTATTTGGTAATATGTCCTAGCCATAGTTCATATGTTTCTTAGGGCGAGAATATCATTATTGGAAGATGAACTCAATTATTGATAATTTACTTTTTCATCAAAAGGATTACCACATTCCTACTGTCTACTCCAGTGTATTAGCTGATGTCTTAACTGGCATGTTAAGGTGTGGAGCTATGGGGATGTTTTCACACCCAAGTACTCTGACATCCTGGTCACTGTATGTTCTTTTTATTTAAAAAGAGATTTCCTTTTGGGAAATTCAGGATCTGAGAAAGAACATCAAAAATCAATTTCAATGCTCCTCCATTTTTCATATTTTTCTAGTAATGAGAGAGAAATCTATCTCTTGAGCAACAAAACTGTACTCTTCCTTTTTTTTTCTTTTTCAAATTTTTGAGTATCATTCTATATTTTCTTAGGAGATTCAAAGCATTCTGAACATGCTTTCAAACCTGGTTCTTTCACATCGGTTTTCTCACATTCATCTTTTTCAGCATCCCATTCATCTTTCTACAACAGGTTTCCAACAGGGTCACAGCTGTGACTGGTTTCTTCAACAGTCTAAACGCAGTGGGAAGTGAATATGAAACCATTCTGTTTTTCTCCAGTCACTTACTGAAACCATACTCAGATGAATCTCTCTTTTTTAAAAATAACTTAACATCTTGGACAGATTAACATCTTAGACATCTTGGACAGATCTTGGGTCACTTTAGATTATTTAAAGTGAGTCAATTTTAAGACTCTAATTTCCTATCTGATTGAAATTTAGCTCCTCCTGTTTCCCCAGTAGATCTGAAATGGGGAGTGATCATGATCTCCTCTTTTATTCTTTTTTTTTTAACCTGTGGGGAGGGAGGCTGGGCCTGAAATCCCCCAGGGATAACTCTTCTCTCTCTTCTCTCTTCTTATGCTATATGTAGCTCTTTCATTGAATGGAACAGGGAGCAGAAGATGGAGAATATATTATATCACCGTTGTAGCTGGCTACTACTGTCAGTCATCACTCTTTCTGTGAATAACACTGACTTGCTGTGTCAGCCTTGCTGTGCTGGCTCTGAGGAGAGGCAGGTGTGTATTTTCAGAGGGCCCTATGGGGGCCTCCTATTCCACAGTTTTTGACATGAGAGATCTGGTTGCAGCTTCAGCTCTTCTGACTGTTTACAGAATTACCTACTGTTGCCTCAGTCAGCAGCCAGCCTTCCTGGGTGGCAAGTCTGCTCAAGTTTTAAGACTGTGTGTTGCTCTAGTTATTTGTGATTTGCTTCAGGATATGGGCCTGGTAGTTGTTGTCACTTTATGTCTAGTATTTGGCTCTAGCAGTCAATTCTGGGCTTCTGAAAGAAACTCCACTCAAATATAACATTGCATGAGTCACGATAGGATAGGTTATGTTGCAGTTGCAATTACAGCATCTCAGTGACTTAACACAGTGTTTATTTCTTGCTCACTTTGTAAGTCCAACACAGATTAGTGGGAGGGCTCTGCTCATTATAGTCAGTCCAGAACCCAAAACAATGGAGGATCCATTTTGTCATATACTTTCATAATCACAGAGAGAGGAAAAGATAAATGAGGAATCTCACTTTACTAAAGTTTCTATCTACAAGTGACATAAATCACTTTTTATTGGTCAAAGTGTGCAATATTTCTAAGCCTACCCTCAAAAAGACTGAAGCATAACACTTTCATGTGTCAAGAAGGAGAATGGGAACCCTTGCAAATAGCCCTAGTGACTGCCAAAGTCTGCCCTTTATGATCCCCAAATATTTGGTTCCCTCTTACCCCAAAGTTCCATCCAGTGACTGAATCAATTTTCGAGTCCAGGATCTCTGAATGGTGCTCCATAATCTTTTTATCAGGTCTGGGCATGGCTCTTCTTAGTCTGCAGACATGTAAATATAAATGAAAATTGTCTATCTCTGATACACCCATTATACGATGGTGGGAGAGAGATAGGATAACAACAACAACAACAACAAAATCCTCTTTAAGTAAGGGGAAGAGTGTGAGACACAAAGCACTGCATAGCAATTCTGAAATCCAGCCAGGCCTACACTGACAGTGAAAAATGTTATTTAATAGGACCCCAATTCTTCCAATTGGGAGGGCTTCCCATTCACTACTCCCCACGGTTCTTGGCTCTGCTGCTCAGAATATTCTTCCTTTGCCATTACCCTTTGATTTAATCTAAAGTAGACACTGGGAAATTGGTCTGCTATTGAGTACTGAGGAATTTTATCAGTTCGCTTCATAACTGTGGAAGTTTGGAGACCTAAAATCATTTTAAGTCACTGACCTTTTTCAGTTTATGTATGTGGTCTCTTTGGTAGTATAACTGTATTAGATTACATGCAATTTTGTATGCCAAGAAACACACATAGTTTATTTTTAGACATACTAATTAGGTTTATTCTATTTCCCCCCATCTCCACCCTCTGTTAATTAGGGACCTATTAGATTTTTTTGGTCTTTCCTCTAAACCAGTTTTTCAATGGAAAGAAATAAGTAAGCATTAAGCCTTTAGTTGCACTTGCTCTTCTTGCCTTCATAACCTAGCTAGAGGTCATAAGAATGGGTTTGAAAGCTATATTCTTGATTTTATCCTTATTGAGTTATAATTGGCCTTATCATTGTAAGGCATTCTTAAGCTCTTCTTTGAGAAGTTGAAAAAGGAAAATTAGCAGCTTTGTGTGTATATGTGTATTTTTGCTATTCAATTTTTGTTTCTAAGGAAGTGGCTGAAGTTAGCCAATTCTTTTCTGAACTCATTTATTTTTCATAATACCTTATCAAATGAAGCCAATAGCAATCAGCACCCAATGCTAACATTATTTTCTGATCTGTTTTATGAAAGCTTCAGGCTTTTTAGATACATCTTCTTCCTTCTAAGTCATTACAGGAAAGAGTTTTACCAAAAGTACTATTGATTATAATCTTTCCAGCTTCCAATAACAGTTTCATTGCTGCTTGACACTTGATTACTAAGCAATTGTATGTATTAATAGTTTTATGTTATGTATTATGACTATATTTCACATTGGGTTCTGATTTCTATACCAATCAGAATATGTTTGTTATTCTGTATATTGCAGGTAGTGTTTGCAAGAATATGCTGTACTAACAAACATCTCTGAAATTTAAGTGGTTTAACCAAACAAAATTTATTAAAATTCAAATAGATTAACTAAAAAATATTTCTTGTTATGGTTACATGTCTAACACAGGACAATAGAAGAGCTTTGCTTGTATAGTTCTTCAGGGATTCAGGCTGATGGAGGCTTCGGTTGATGGATATTCGGTATAACTAACTTTCATTGGCTATAGCTAGTCGCTTGGACATGCATAACTTCAAGCTGACTAGGGAAGGCTAATACTACCGGATGCCTGGGAAGAAGACTGGAATGTTTGTGAACAGTCCTAATTAGTTGTAGCTTTTAACATTTTAATTTTCCCATCTGTAGTGCAGATGTGAGAATTGCTAAAACTCAATTCTGATGTTTCTCTAAGCCTGCTTCTTCCATAGTACTCCCAGTCTACTTAATAGCAATTCCATTTGTTAAATTATTTGATTGAACGTTGTCTATCTTTCACATTTATCTTTTTATTGCACCCAGCATTCAATAGAATAACCACACCTATTGGTTTTACCTTCAAAATACATGAACAATTTTATTGGCACTTCTTACTACTTTCATCCCTAACACCCAGATCTAAGCTACTGTTATTGTTAATCTTCTAGCTAGTTGCTCAATTTCTGCACTTTAATCTTGTGTAATTATTCTTAGCACCCTAATTATATTAATCCTTTCAGTGCATAAAACAAATAATTTCTTTGCTCAAAACTCTCCAAAAATCCCACATTTTACTGCATAACCCAGCACCTTCCAAATTCTTCTATCCATCTCAAGTCCTTCCCTTTTTTGTTCCCTTGCTCACTCTACTCCAGCTGCATTATTTTCCATACAGCCCCTTAACATACAATCACTCATTGTTCATTTTCTTTTCCAAGAGATCCAATAACTTACTCTCTCACCTCTTTCAGGTGTCTACTCAAATGCCCCTTTGTCAATGAAGCTTTTGCCAACCAACACATTAAAATGTCCACCCTCTCCCCGATTTCTGCTTTGCTCTATGTTCATAGCTATTATCATCATCTAATATATGTTTATTTATTTATTTTATCATATCTATCAACTAGAATGTCAAACCCAAGGGAGCAAGAGGGCTTGTTTCTTTTACCTTTTCTCTTTTCCCTCCTTCTTATTCTTCTTCATTACTATTATTATTAAAAAAACTTTTTTTTTAATGTTGCTGTATCTCTAGTACCTGAAACAGAAGAACAGTGCCTGGAACATAGTAAGTACTCAGGAAAGTTTATCAAATACATGAGCAGAATATTGGAGCATGAACCACAAGCAGATCCATGAAATCTAGCTGAATAACCACACAGAAATTGTCTTACATTGTGAAAGTGATGGTGAAGAAAAGAAGGATTTGCCATAATGAGTAGTTATCTAGATAAATATAAATTTGGATTTCTTAGAAAGTTGCAACTCACTCCAAAATAGATTGCAGATATATACAAGATTTAAATTTTTTAAAAAATTAGAAAATATCAAAATAACTAATTGGAATATGGGAAATTATTTGTGAGTATGGTGTAATATCTAGAAACTATAAAATAAAGGATTGATAAATCTTGTTTATCAATTAGCATATGTGCAATTCAATAGCATATCACTTTAAAAAAATTGTGTATTGCAAATGTACTACAAAAAGTCAAAACAAAAAATAGGAGAACAAAAGTGTTTCAGTTGTTTACGACAGACAAATGTTTCAGTTGTTAACTTTCTTGGTATATGAGATAACCAGTTCTTCCAAATCAAGACCAAAGGAAAAAGAAAAACCCAAACAATGAAATGCACAAGGAATATGACCAGAGGGAAAAATAACTAGATATGGCTCTTAAACCTATTTTAAAAAAATAACGATCTCACTCCCAATACTACAAAAAAGCAAATTAGAACTGCAATGAGATATAATTTTTAAAAACATAATATTTGTAGAAGTAATTTGATTTTAAACATCTGGTGTTTGACAAATAGGATAAAATTATAGTTCTAGGAGAAATGATAAACACCAGATTAAAAAGAAAATCTATCATAAGCCATAAATGCAAATAAAATTCCATCACAAATTTGTCAAGCACTTTCTATTAACACTTTATTTTCCAGGAAATACTGATATTCTTTAAAATGTTCTTAGATACTCTGCATAAGGAGAAGAAATGATGATACCTATTCCATTACTCCGATTGGATTAGGTACAGAGTCAATTAAGAGTTTTCTTTGGATTCTTGATATTTTATGGAAAGAACATTGAGATTTTGTTTTGTTTCTTACCAGGAAACACATTTACTGAAAGAAAAACCTTTTTTTGCTTGTTATTGACAGAATAATTATGAGGATCATACCATTATGCAAACCATGAATATAACTGAATAAGCAATAATAGAGCTGCCTATTCAATGCTGGGGACCCATCAAAGGTGGGTAGATTCTCCATAGGCAGCATGGCTGTTTTATTTTATTATCGTTCCTAACACCTCTATACCAGTGCTGGCAGAATTCTGGACATTGATTTATCTTACTGTCTGTTGTGGCTGAGCTCTAGAGCTTTTGCTCAAAAGAAAAGACAACAAATTAATGTAATATTTCTTCTTGGATGTCTGGAGGAAGAAAGAAGGACCTTTAGAGCAACTGGACAGGATGCTTAGCTGTTTGACACAATGCTTTTGAATTCTTTCATATGTTCCCCCTAATCCCTCTTCCCACAGAGGTCTCTCACTACCTCCCAGTCTGGCCTTGTTTTCCCCAGGCACTAGAATTGGAAGTACTTTCTGTTAGGCAGGACTGGATTTTCAGCAAGGCCAGTAGGAATATATGTAAAAAGAATAGACTGTGGGGGCAGTAAAGCTGGTTCTGAAATCTTGCCTTGAGGTGCTCAGAACATAAACCTAAACTACTAGTAGGAAGCCATACAATCATTTCAGTGAAAGGATTGTAATACACTTTTTACAGCTAACAAGGAGGTTAACAGAAAAACATTTATCTTGTCTAAACTTGTAAAATTCTTCCAGAAACAGACTAGAAGGGGACAAAAATGATGGGAAAGCACTAACTACAAAGTCACTGTTCTTACAGGCAGCCCTCTGCAGGAGGGAGCTATGCATTCACACAAAAATGCTTTCATCTCTATTTCTTTGGCTTGGATGGGAGACCAGATTCAAGGGCTTCCTTCAGGGAGATCTGCTTGCGATTTCAGTTATCCTGGACCCCACTTCACTGCAGTTAGATTTTTCTGTCTCTGATAATGATGATCCATAAACAGTCACGGCCTCTCTGTTGCAACCCAGATGTGAGTTATACACTATGATGCGGAGAGAATTAAAAAAAAAAATTGGCCCAGTATTTTCTTTGCGACATTTAGAATTCCTTTGAGAGGAATTTTCCAACTTAAAGGTCTTTTTTCCCTCTCATAGAATTTTATAAATCTTGCAGAGTGATTAATCATTCTAAATAAAACATTAACGACTCAATGTCTAAATAAGGTATTTGAAAGGCAAAAAGTACTTTGTCTTTTCTTGAAATCAAACATTTCAAACAATTTTTTAGATGAAAGGATACTGATGTTCTTAGGTTGAAATGTGTCAGAAGATTTGAGAGAATAGGGATGGAACTCATTTACCTGGTGACCTGGCTGTATTACTGCTATGCATTTATATTTTGTTAAATGATTTGTAGCAATATGAACCCTGGGAGGCCTTAGCATTGTTCCAGTGCATTCCGTTATATTTTCACTGCTAGCATAATTACAGATATCTACAGAATATCAATTATATATGTAAATGAATCATTCTATTTCTGCAGGCTTAACAAGCTTCTCAATGAAAAAGAGAGAGAGAAAAAAGGAGTGTGTCTATTAAGAAGGCGACCCTCCCTCCTCCCTTCAGTTTCCCAGTATAGGGTATTTCCTTAGCTACTACTGACATAACCTTCTTCATTTCTTTCTCATTTCCAGGTTTAGTCAATAACAAACTTCCAAACTTCCTTTCTTCACAACCACTGACAATGACTAACTCTTTGTGAAAGAGCTCTGAACAGTTATAAAGTACTATAATGTTAGGTAAACTTTGCCATAGGAAGAAAAAGGAAAGTAATAGAAATAAAATGATAGAAATAAAAAAGAGAAAAAGGCATAAATAGAGAAAAATTTAATTATGTAGTGATAATTACAGGAGAGAAAAAATATAACATGTCTTGTTTAGAGATTAGAAAACTGTGATGCTAGTGATCCCTGATTCAAATATTAATATAATTTTGATAAGTAGGCAAAAATATGAGATGACTAAAAAATGAAACAGATACATGGTCCTTTTAATGATCATTTTCTGTATATGATTTGGGAAACCAATAATTTGGATAACTTAACCTAGTAGTTCGCAACTGAGTTGTTTTGCCTTACCAGGGGGGATATTGGAAATGTCTGGAGACATTTTTGGTTGTCACAAATAGGGGGAAGTGTGTTACTTGTGTCTAATGAGTAAAGGCCAGGGATGGTGATGAACAATGAACATCCTCTAGCACACAGGACAGCCCCATGTCCTCACAATGATTGTCTGGGCCCAAAGGTCAATAATGCTGATGTTAAGAAATCTTCACTTAATCCAATTCATTTTTAAAACCCACCATTTGGTTTTAAAATAAGCAAGGAAACATAAAAACTAAGCCTTATATAATCTTTAGTCATTCCTTCTTTTTGGTCTGTTCTGTGGTCTGGTACTACTGAACTATCCAGAGTCCCACTAGGTAGAACTTGATGATCCTGTACTTTAGTACTTTTTGCCTCTTTTTCCTTTTCACATTTAAGGATCCTCGAGACTTTTCTAACATATCACCTCTCCTATGAGAGACTTTCTGTGACATTGCCTCGACAAGACTGTCTCCTAGGAAAGGTGAACTATATTCTAAACAACCACTGTCTATGCCTTTACTATGTACTCACTGTATTAGTCTGTTTTCATGCTGCTGATAAAGACATGCCTGGGACTGGGAAGAAAAAGAGGTTGAATTGGACTTATATTTCCACATGGCTGGGGAGGCCTCAGAATCATGGCTGGAGGTGAAAGGGGCAAGAGAAAATCAAGAAGAAACAGAAGTGGAAACCCCTGATAAACCTCTTGTTTGCTATCACAAGAATAGCACAAGAAAGACGGACCCCTACGATTCAGTTACCTCCCCTCCCGGGTCCCTCCCATAACACATGGAAATACTAGGAGATACAATTCAAGTTGAGATTTGGGTGGGAACACACCCAAACCATATCACTCACATTCTAATGTTTGTTCACATGCAGCCACCTTCCCCAGACTATGAGCCCTTGAGGGCTCTTTCCTGGATATCTCTCAGGTTTCTCAAACTCAGCTTCATCAAAACCAAACTTATTTCTCTAACTCATTTGTTTTTGCAGATACCCTGTATTAAGACAAATATGCAACATGAGGATCATTGTATACCTTTTTTTGTTTCTCAAATGACTAAACTCTAAATCACTTTCAAATTCCTCCTTCTCATTTCCATGACCACTGTTTTAGTTCAGAAATCTATCTCATCATTCTGTTGCTTCCAGAAATTTTTTTAAATGCAAATCTCTCCTGTCCCGTGGCTAAATTGTGCAATGGCTCTTCATTGCCTGTAGGTAAAAATCCATACTCTGTAGCCTGGTAGTATAGAACCCTTCATAATGTTACTCCATGATATTATCTCCCCAGCCCCATTTCATCTCACACCTACATATGTGTTCCCAGCACACCAATTTGTGGTTTCTTGAAGTGCTTTGCTTAATCCAGTGCTTTTATCTGTTTTGTTTCCCTTGCCTAGAATCACCTTATGTCCCAATCCCTTTTGTCATTCATCCATTGTCATCCACCATGTAAATATCTCTCCTGAAAGTATCACTTTTATCTTCAGGATGGATGGGTGTCCCTTTTCTGGGTTTCCAGCTCTTTCTGCCTGTATTTCTAGCACATCTACTTTTTCCTAGTATCACCAGTGTCTGTCATCCCTATTAAATTGTGACATATTTAAGGAAGGAGGATGCATGACTTCTCTATCTTCCTATTGCCTATCATAGTTCTTGCCACAGAAAAGTCAGTAAACATAAAGCCTTTCATGTGGAAGGAAATCATTTAACATATATTCAGTCAAACTGAATTTCAGAGGAAGAGTCCATTGGAAACACATCTGGAGATGTTGTGGTTGTAATATCTTCAGGTATCTTTCAGGTATGAATGTCATTCAATGGAACAAAAACTCATATTATCTCTCCAAAGTATGAGGCTCTAGTCTCTTGGTTTGTCCAATCCATATTGGATTCTGCCAATCTTCATTCCTGTGGTATCTTTTATAGATACCTTATTTAACTATTCACACTCACAAAGATACCATTCAATTACTTTGTTGAGTGGAGTTTAGTTTGTCCTTTAGAAAAGTATCCTAACTCTTTCCAGCCACAGATTATCATTTAGTCAGCGTATTGTGGTAGCTAGCAGTGGTTGGAGAATGAATGTGGAGGTGATGGTGGTCTATGACGATATTGCAGGGAGCAAATAAATGGCAGGAGCAACGTCCAAGTACACAATGTGAGGGAAAGGATAACTGGGTTTAGGTGAGGTCCAACAGTGAGATAATCCAAGTAGCATTTCCAGCTTTCAGCTACTACAAGAATTTTGAAGATTTAAAAATAGATATAATATGTTCCTTGTTGCATTCCCAGACATGGAAGGGCTTTTCTGTCACATTCTCAGACTCTGTGGGTCCTACAAGACTTATAAAATAGAGAATGGGTGTTTAAGTCTGGACAAAACGGAGGCATGAATTAACGTTCCACATTCCGAAAGGAAAAAGAAAAACCTCGAAACAAAATCACGTCACTCCACATCCTCGCAGACATAGCTGAGGTTAATGTTAAAAGTGTTAAATCAGCTGTTTTTTTTCCTCTTTTTGAGAAAGTAGTGGAGGAAAGGAGGAAATAAAGTTTAGGGGGAATGAATACATGACTTACAGTTTATATTTTATAGAAAAACATAGAGTGTAGAAATCTTTCTGGAAAAATGCTGAAAATTAATATATTATAAATTTTGAATGCAGGTACACTTTATCAAAATGAAAGTCAAGTAGTTTACCACCCAAAAAGCATTCATTGGGAGTGTGAAGAGTGATGATTAGAAAATTTCTCAATTAGATTTCAAAGAGAAAGTAAACGTTGTTATTTAGTTTGTTATTCAGATTTTACTGATGTATAGGTCAGATCTGAGTTGCATATAACTTTATGGACTCACATTTGACACAAAAAATAAAAATCTTTTATGTATTATTTTATTATAGTTTATAAACTTTTAACAGTGAATATTCTATTCAGCTGTTTATTTCTTAATATTACCTAAGAAATCATCTATTCATCAGGAAAACTATACATATTACTAATATTTGATCAGAAAGAGGTTAAGAAATATTTTGTTGAAGAAAAACTGTAAAAAGAATTTCTTTTTCTTAGTTTGTGAAAATGAGTGGAAGTCAAGCTTCTACTATCATTTATAGTGTCAGGGTTAATTTGGTTTTTGAAACATGGGTTTATGGAGAAAACTGAAGTGAAGAAAATTTCTACAACACTGATTAAAAACTTGCTTGAGCAAACCAACTTGCTACCCTGTGTTTTGGTTATCCCTTATATAAATGGGGTGAGATTAAGTATGCAACATTTCTGTAACCTTTATAATGTAATGATTCTTTTATCTTCTTAATTACCTAAAGAAAAGTTGATTGAAAAATATATAGTACTATAACATAGGTACTGTAACACAAGTCTTTGGGAAAATGTACATTATTAAATATTGAAGATCAAGTAATAGTTAATTTGTTCTTTTCTTGCTTTTGTAGTCAAGTATTATTTAAGTAAATGAGTAACAATTCTGTATGTTGAACTGTTTAAAGAGGTAGCAAAATACACATTTTGAACAGATGCTGAGAGTTTGGGTGTTAAAGGCAATGTCCAGTTAAAGCTGAGGTTAAATAGCATCATAGAGGGCCATGGAGAAAAACCCAAAATTTTATCAAAAAATTTGTTATACAATTTTTCATGTGAAAATGTTAAACATTTTAAAGGGGTTAAATTGTGCAGAAGCAATGATCTCTGAGCACTGCCAACAACAAATTGCTCTTGAGAAACTTCTAAACCATATTTATGTTGAATTAATGTTAATGTAATAGCCTTACTTTTCTCTGACAGCACCGTTGTTTTTTTCTTCATATTCTGTTTTATTTCTAGATAGAAGACACTTTTCATTGTCACTGCCAACATAGTTTTGGATTTCCTTCTTAAAATCTTGGAGATCTTGAGATGTTAATATTCCACTTTTAGTTCACTTTGGCATGTAAATATTGCATACTGGTATTAAACTCCATGAAAATTGGTGACCTAAAAATAAATAATTAAAAACTAAATACAGTTTTAAAAGATTTAGATACGTGAGAAAACACCAAGGGATTAATCTCTCCTAAACATTGTAACATTTGTTATATAATCATGTACTTATCAATCCAAACCCCACAAAGTTCTGAAAATGTTTTGTTTTTGTATACATGTGCCCAGTTCATTTGGTGGCAAATGTGATCTGAACTGACACCCATCTCTCTGTAATGTTTATTTACTTAGAATGACTACCGTATTGGGAAAGTATTAATGTGTTTGATTACAATTACTTCCCAGATCTACTGGGGAGTGTACAAAAGAAATAGTCCATATACGTTGTAACCTATCTAATAGCTGAATAATTTTGAATTCTACAACACATCCTACCCCAAAGATTTCACATTTTCCAGTTCTTAGAAATATGCTGAGAAAAATTGTGTTTTCCAAAGATGTCCTCAACAAAATTTCCCATTCCACACATTCTTTTAGAACCTTGTCACTCTCCTATCCAGAGGTGGAGTTTAATTCCTTTCCCTTGAATTTTGGCATATTTAGCAACTTTTTATAACCAATGGAATGTGGCATTCATGATACTATGTGATTTCTGAGACTAGATTTTAAAATGCCATAAAATTCCCTTGTTCTTGCAGGATATTCACTCTTGGAATCCAAATATTGTACTTTAAAGAAGCCCCAAAAATGTATTAAAAGATTTACTCTGGGATCCTGGTTCCATGGTTTTAGCTGAGTTTTCAGCCAATACACTATACTAATGTGTCAGCCACATGAACAAGACATCTTAAGTGAACTCTCCAATTTCTAATTGAGTGACTTGGTGACACTATGCTTAGTCCTGCTCAAATTTCAGACCATGAAATTTGAAAGCGTTCCTAAGCAAATAAATATTTTTTGTTGTTTTAAGCCACTTGGGGTAGTTTGTTACGTAGCAATAACACTAGAACCCTAAACTGCCTTACAAGCAATTTAGTTGTCCTGGGAAGACCAAGTAATAGGGAAGCCCAAACGATCCTACATGGAGATCTCATGGAGAAGCTCTGGGACAATGTTTAGAAAAAATCTCCAGGCACCTGGTCCAGCCAACATTTGACTGCAACCACATGAGACACCCTGGGTTAGAACCTCCTATTCAAGATCTTCTTGAGTTCCTGATCCATAGAAACTGTGATCGGAAATACAGTTGTTGTTTTGAGCTACTAAGTCTTGAAGTTATTTTTTACTAGTGATAGATAACGAGAACATCTGCACATAATTTTTAGAAACCAAAAAGGAAAACTATGAACTTTAAGAAATAGAAGAGGCAGCAGTTTGAAAACCATTTGTAGAGAGAACCAAGCTAACTCTGATTGTTCCTGTAGTCATGGGTTATGAGCTCTCACTCTTACCACTGTCAAAGAGGATAGACCTTCACAGATTCACAGAGTACGTACCAGTATTCATGTATGTATGGGACCACAAAGAGGAGGGTAATTAATTAATTCTGCTCTGCAGCATTTGTGAACACGTTACAGAACAAATCATATTTAAACTGGATCTGGATGGGTGGTTATGAGTTTTCTGCTGGTTCCAAAGTGTGTGTTTACATGTGCTGTGGCTATGTGACCAGAGAGAAAAAGAAAAAGAGAAACAATTATGAGAATAGTTACTTAGAGTTCCAATTATTAATTTCTGTGCTTCTTGATGCCCAATTAAGCTTTCTTTTTAAAAAATATTATATTTGTACAGACTGTATAGGTTTGTTACATAGGTATGCACATACCATGGTGGTTTGCTGTATCCATCCCTTGTCATCTACGTTAGGTATTTCTCTTAATGTTATTCCTCCTCAATCACCCCACCCCCTGCTATCCCTCCTCTGGTCCCCCCAACCCCCTGACAGGCCCCGGTGTGCAATGTTCCCCTCCTTGTGTCCATGTGTTCTAACTTTTCAACACCCACTTATGAGTGAGAACTTGCGGTGTTTGGTTTTCTGTTCTTGTGTCAGTTTGATGAAAAAATTTTCTTGGGAAAGATATTTAAAATAGTTGAGCTTTTTTGTTATTTTTGAAACTTGCCATCAAGAGTCTTGACTAAGACAATTACTCTTTTTAGTAGTTTCTCTATTCCAGGTATTATGATATTCATATTGGATATAAACCTGTTTAATTTTTGCAACTGCTTTTTGAAATAAATATCATTATTCCCATTTTGAAAATAGGCAAGTTGAGACTAAACAAACTGTTATTAAGCGAGTATCCTGGATTCCAAATCTGGACTTTTGCTCTTCACTTATAATGGCTCTAATATGTGATCTTATTATCTTTACAGCTCACCTAATGTGTGTGTGTGTGTGTGTGTGTGTGTGTGTGTGTGTGTATGTGTCAGTATATATCAGGTAAGGTATAAAGATTATATACACATAAATTTTTATATCAGATGAGCTCTCTCTCTCTGTGTATATATTATATAAATGTATGTATACACACATATTTGTAGTGTCTCCACTTTTTTATGTGTGGACATGTTTTATCCCCTAAATTCAGAGTAAGGCAGAATTTGTATTTATTTTTCTTTTCTTTTAGAGCTGGTATTGTGTTGTGTCTAGATGCTCTGAATGTTTAATTGACTCAATTTATAAAAATTAAAAAAAACTGTTGAAAGATAAGTTTTTGATGATGTTAAGACTTAGATGAAAATGAGAAATGGACACGTTTCTTCTGTTTCTTTCCTTGGGAGGGAGGAAAGAAGGCTGTGACCTCTGGGTGTGTTGTATTCTCAGGTTATCTATACTAGGCTGGAAGTCTGGAAGGCCTTGCTGGAAGAGCTACTTATCTTTGTTTTATAGTTGTTCTCTAAGAGAAAATAGACATTTGAAAACAATTCTTGAATTCTTTGTAGATGACTGAATTTAATATTATTGTCTTTAAAAACCTCTTGCCTTTGTACAGCAAGATTTTCTTTAAATACTACAAAAGCTTATGTTTCTACATTGGTATTATTTGTACTCTTCTTTTGCTTCAGGTACTTCTATTCCTTTTTTCTCATTGTGATAAATAGTGACAATAACAAATCTAATGTTTAATTGACTAGCATCTTTTGGAATATGGGTACATTAGATTAGTTATATGCATATATATTCCATGATCTAATTTCATTTCATTAATTTTTTAAAAAAATCTCCATCTCCATAATATCTCTCAGGTTAGCCTAATGTATTAAATAACCTTTCATGTTGAATCATAGGATGATAGGATTTGGTACCTGGAAAAGAAAAAGTATGGAAAGTGAGATCTGGATTTTGTAAAAAAACACATAACAAAAACCTCTCTAGGTGACCCTATAAGCCAAGGCAGGGTTGAAAACCAGTGTCTAGTTCCTTTATTTTACTGATGAGATAATTAGGTTATAGGGAGTGTTGATAGAATGGCATTTGAGTTTAAGAAGAAATGCATAAAACTAAAAATAAATTTTAAAATTCATCTAATAAAAATAATTTATTTTTAAATATATATAGTAATTACTCTTTTATTTACAAGTGACAGAAAGCCACCCCTACACAGCATAAGAATAAAGCAAAATACATTGGCTTACAGAATTCAAGAAAATGTTGAATACCAAACTATGGAAAGGCAAACATGTAATTGGGCTAAAGCTGAATGCCTAATGGCACATTTTATACCAAGTTCTCACCTGTTACCATTCCTCTTCACTGTTGAACTTTATCCTCTTTCATTGGAAGACAAATTTATCCACATGGTAGCAAATGTGGTTGCCAATGGTTTCCATATTTGACACTTCATTATTTTGAAGGCACTAAGAAGAGAATTACCTCAAGCTTTTTTTTTTAGGGCTGAATTAAGATATCCTGGAAAAGGATGCAAGAGGAATTGGGCATAAACCCTAAATCAAGTTGGACCAGGGGTCAGCGTTACACTATATTGAAAGAAGCACTTCCATATAAATCATGTTGATAGTGGAAGAGGCAGATTTTAGAAAAGGAATACTTAGCAAACCGTCTCAGGTACCTACAAAAACAACTTAGTAAGTTATTTAATTTTAAGAATACATTACAGATATTTTAATATTTTACTGAAAAATCCTTACATGAAGTAACATATAGGGTTTTCTTGGGAAATACTTCGTTTCTTCAGAGGAGAATCTTCCAATCCTCTCGGCAGTGGGGTAGCCTGAGAGCCCTTCAGCTCAATAGACAGACTTTTAATTACTCTTCTTGCATTTAGTTGTTTCATTTCTGTATTTGGGTCTGCAGCTTAAAACATCCTAGTTAAGTTTTGTCTCGTCTAATTTTATCTCTCTTTATCTGGCAAAGGAGTAGGGGAAGGTGTCTTTTAGGAAAGCCTGGGAATGGGACTGTGCAGAGGAGTTAACAGCAGACCTGAGGTTAGAAGGTCTGTAGAAGGGCTTGCTTACATGGTTGGCCTTTGGCCAGCATCTGGTAACTTGGCTTTCAAAATGTTCACTTTGTCGCTAACTGATAAGGTAGTTTTTCTGTGCCTAGATTGGGCAGACACTGCGATTTATAATGAAGACTTGCTTTCCTTCTAGGAGTCTGGAATTCTTGTAGTTGCTAGCCAAAAGGTACTTACTGAGCTGCCCCAAATACAAACTCTATTAGTCTCAAGCAGGCTCCCCTAGGAAGAAATATAATACAGAATGTTGCTGCATTTTCCGTGATGGAGGGAATGTGTACTCTATGTGACAAGGAAGGGAGATAGAATAAGAAGCCTGAACATTCATTCTTCCAGAATCCACGTATGTCTTTTCTCTTACTGATTCTTATTCTATCACTGTAATAAACATTTGCCATTAGTAAAATTAGCTGTTGAGTCCTATGATTCCTTCTGGTGAATCCCTGAAAGTGTGAGTAGTCGTGGGATACCCAAAGGAAGTAAGAGTACACCTTACCTCTCAGGTTTATGGTGTGCCCAGTCTCTGAATCTCTCTTCAATATCACCTTCTATCAGTTTTCCATCTTCCAGAATGCAATCTGTCACTGGTATTGCAACAGTATTGACTAATACAATTTTTCACTACTGTAAAGCCATTTTAGTGCATATTTGTGTCAGAAAAGATATAAGCAACTATAGCTAAGCTGTCATATATAAATGGAAGTCCACTAATATCTGTGAGAAGTTTCCTGTTCTATTTACCCCAGTCACTTTGGAAGAACTCTAATTCTTTATATTTTGGATCCCTAATATCAGTCTTAATGTTTTTTCCTAATCATTTTATCGATTTGTTCATTTCCTCATTTTGTGTAAATTTCTCTGATGTTACTTTTCCATACTGCTATTAGAGTGTTTTGTATACTAATGATTTGATGTTATAAGTTATCCATTGGTATTATTTTTCTCCATAATTTTCATTTGGTTGTGCTTATTTAATTTCAAAAATAAAATAGCATCTTAATGATAATATTGTTAACTCATCTTTTAGCATGCTTCACTGAGTCTTCAACATATCTTGAAAGTACAGACGTGGTTTTTAAAAATTTATATATATATATATATATATATAGAAATTTCTAAAAATTTACATGTTTCTGATACCCACTGTTCCTTTGCTTTTAATCATTTTTGTAGCAATAAGTTTTTTATCGAAATTTCAGGTTATGCTATTTTCTCCATCTATTTGTTTTACAGTGGATGGTTATTTCTGCACCTGCTATTTGCTCCAGAATAATGTGGTTGCAGTTTTCTGACTTCATTATTTGTTTACTTGTGCATTGTATAAATATTCCCTTTCAAGCTTGAGGGTTAAATGTTGATAGTTTATATTTTCTTCAGTCATCAACAGTGTAAATTTCACACCATGGGCAGATAATATCTGAGTTCTTGTTTTACTCTGTTTTACATTTATTTGCCCAATTTTTCTATAAATTGGTTGAGACTCTCGTGCTGTTCATTGTGACACTTCACTGTTGCTGCTTCTGTGTAAGCCAGCACTTTGGTGAGAATCCAGTTTAGAAAAAAGCTCAAGTTTTGTTTCATAGATCACTGCTTTTTGTTTGCTTGTTTGTTTGTTTTCCCCTTCCAAAGTTATCTTTGGTCTGAAACTGCAGAGTTGGCTTTGGGAATATTCTCTTCCACTTCTCAAATAATTCATTCTCACCTTCACATCTAACATCTCTCAGTTAAGAAGTAAGGTTAGAGAGGAGAAGTAATAGTAACATGTAATGGTAGCATGTAAGCTCCTGGTGTCCCTCCCAGTTTCACCCCCACAGATGACCTGTAGATATGTGGAAATGTATAGAAATTTCCTCTCTATCTAATCTCCAGTGCTGGTGCCTACATCTTGGGAACAGTGGAACACATCCAAGGTCTTCCTTCATTTTAGACCAAATTATATCTTTCTTAAATTATTTAATGCACCTTTTATAAATTATGAGGTATTTCCCAATTTGAGAATAGATACATTTTCCTCTCTATTGTTTCTTATTTTGTTTCCACTAGTCTGAAAGTGTTTTCAGAATGTACACCAAAATTTTCAATGTACACCAAAAATACCATCTTTCCAGAAGGCTTTTAAATAGCAAACTGCTCAGATTGATAATATATGAAATTACTAGACTTAATGGAAACTTTTGGGTA